TTCTCCACATACAATCACTGGAGGAACAAGGAATCAAGGAACAGCTGTAAGGTGAACAAAGGTTTTTGATTTTGACAGACTTGCAAAGTGACCATTTAGTTCAATACAGTTTGGAATATCTAGATTAGCTGAGTGAATATTTTCTTTGAGCCATTCATGTGTGGGGGAGCGAACAGGAGGTCAAGTGGTCAGCTGGTGGGAGTTTGGGATATACTGGAGACTTCTACATACATCCATTTGATCTAAATACTCAGGAAGAGGCATCTTCTGCATCCTCTCTGAAATATACACCAATGTGTGTATACTGTGTGTAAGGAAGTCTATTAAAAGATGGGGAGTACATACACCAGTGAGAAACTTTAAAAGAAAAGAAGCAAGTACCATCTTTGAAGGCGGTATCCAGTTCTTCTTCATGCATCCATGGTCCAGAGAGTGCCAGCCACAATCCAAAAAGTTGTTAGATCTTGCAAGAATGTCACTAAGTCAGTTTCAACACATGCAAAAATCCAAAGTTTGACAAAGGGTTTAGCAAGTGATCACTTATTCACCAGTGGAAGTTATAGTTAGTAAAACTGTATTTTCTGTTGTGGCTCTCTCAGGTCCCTATTATTTCATTTCACAGTGTAACTGCTTGATGTTGCAGGATGGGTACTCTTGACAACCGGAGGAGGCTGTTGGTGAGGCAGTAGCTGACAGCTGCTCTCCAGAGGTTTCCTACTGCCAGCACAGATCGCCCGGGGCTAGTTTGAAAAAAAAATGCATGGATAATTGGGTTAATGGGGGCAAGGGGGTGGAAGAGTTGGGGCGGTGGTGGAGCAGCACAGAGGCTGGATAAACACAATGACCCCTTGTGTGATGCATCTCAGCAGCACTGGGCATAGGCTGCATGCAGGAGGTGGGTTTTGGGGGGCGGGGAGGGGGGTTTCCTCCATGTCCAGCTGGACGAAATGGAGAGGAGCATGGATTATGACAGCTGTCAAAACTCTGTCAGATACATCGTCTCACACACGGTGACTCATCCACACACAGTCACACACCACCCACTCGTCATTCTCACAGCCAATAATGCTGCCAGCTTCATGTTGTTTTTCAAAAAGCACATGAGCACACATGCAAACATAGAGACGCATGTACATCATCCAGCAGGATTCATTTGTGATTTATTTCAACCCTCCAATCAAAGATCAGCGACAGAGCTGCTCTTTAGTTGGTGTAGGTGGAGCGCTGATGGCATGTAGAGAGGTTCACATATTTTTAATGGGGCCAGTGTTTATTATTTTTGATGTAAACTTGGCTTTAATGCATGCTGTTTCAAGAGAACGAGGCAGTATTTAACTATGATACAGCTGAATTAGCATTAAAGCTGCAGCGGCCCACCACAGTGACCTGGGGCAGTTCATTTGTCAGTGGAGGCCCAGAGGATGACAAGTTACTGAAAGTGTTTTACTGGAGTGTGAAGAGAGAGAGAGAGAGAGAGAGAGAGAGTCCGTTCAATTAGCGTTCTGACAGTGGAGACAGTTTGGATAAAAGAGGTTTTGTGCTGCAATACCAAAGCCTGCCATTCAAAACACTGTAAATGATAGAAAAATTAGTTATGAAAGATGAGCTGAGTCGGTACGGAAGCCGAGAACGGTCATGGCCGCACATTTTTTTAAACGGCATTTTCTCGGGAAAACTGCGTTCGTTTTTTTGAGATAACAAGATAATTATCCCATAGACAGTTTCGGCTGTCACTTCAGCCTTCATCAGAAGTTGTCGGACTTCCTGGTGTNAATAAACAAAACTGGTAAGAAAACTACATTATATTTATTTTCTTTCTCAGTTCTTATCATTTTGACACTGCCGATTTTCTTTTGGCCCTTGATAATATCTATTTCGAGGAGATGCCAAAACTTCCTCTATTCAAGAAAAAAAAAAACATGCAATCTGCAAGGGAAGAGGCAAAATGTAGCTTAAGGTATAATGGATGATATTATGTAGAAGGGTCACCGGCAGTGATTCTGTCACTTTCATGTCTGATAGGTTGGAACTTGTTTTGTTCCATTGTAAAGTCCCGGCAGGACAAAAATACAATGCATGTGCTATTTTAAAAGATGGAATTTGTTTTGAGATCGAAGCAGTGTGTGTCTGTGAGCTGTTTTCATTGGTTTCTTGAAAAACAGTGGGAACCTTTGTTTTCCAGAAGGCAAAACAGCAGCAGAGTGTAGGAGCTTGTGACTGTGTAAAAATGCATCAGTGGGGTTTGGACATGTCATGGGCATTAAAGGAAATAGATTTAAAAATACACTGGCATTATCCTTAAGAGTACTGTCCTAAGTAGATTAAATTTATTTTAATTTCAGATAGGCTCTCACTTCATTATGTGACCATTTAACCTCACCCTTTTCACTCTCTCTTTTTGTACTCTCTCTCTCTCTTTAATCCAGATTGCTGAGACATCAAACTCATTCCTGAATCGCATGCTGAACAGAGACACCATCACAAGAATAACGTATAAAAGTAAGTGGTTATGTCTACTCAGTGAAATATTTTTAACATCTTTGCTAATTAGCCTTAAATCACAATAAAACATTATCTAAGCCATGCTGCACACTTTTTGACACAGACATTTATAAAGATAATGGTGGTAGATTTCCCATCACTGCAAATTCTTCACAACAAAGTAAACTACGACTAAGAAGC